GGATCAGCATTACGATTCACTTTCAGAAGATTATAAACGACAATGCGAAAGTGTTGACCGAGTTCGGAATATGGTCCTAACTGACATCACAAGCTTTCTACAATCTATGGGTAAAAATCTTGATGATTTCGATCTTCCAAAGATAAATGTAGATACTAACTTAGAATTTGGAAGTTTTCGTGAGGTACAAGAGGAATACTCCATAGTTGTGGAAGACGAACATTTACGTGCCCGGGAATCCCTTAATTTTGACCAAAAATACGCATATGATGAGATCATGAAGCACGTAGACGATGATCGTTCAGGAGTATTCTTCATAGATGGTCCAGGGGGGACTGGAAAAACGTATTTGTACAAAGCATTGCTTGCCAACATTCGTTCTCGTGGTCTCATTGCTCTTGCCACTGCTTCTTCAGGTGTTGCAGCTAATAATATGCCTGGGGGGAGAACAGCTCACTCYCGATTTAAAATTCCCCTTAATCTTGATAACAACTCCATGTGCAACATAAAAAAACAAAGCGGGACTGCTAAATTGCTACGGGATGCGAAGATAATCATTTGGGACGAAGCGTCAATGGCTAAGWGGCAGGCTGTGGAGGCACTTGATCGAACAATGCAAGACATCACAGGGGTGACACTACCATTCGGTGGAAAAATAATGGTTATGGRAGGTGATTTTAGACARGTCTTACCGGTCGTGAGACRTGGAACCCGAGCACAGATTGTAGATTCAAGCCTACGAATGTCACCTCTTTGGTCTTCAATTAAAAAAATACGTTTAACTCTCAATATGAGAGCAAGAAGTGATCCATGGTTTTCAGATTTTCTATTACGAGTGGGTGATGGAGATGAAGAAATGATCGAAGAAAACTTTATACGTATTCCCRATGACATGGCCATTGCCTATACTGATAAAGATAAATCAAAGCATGATTTGATTGACGCAATATTTCCATCTCTGCAAATCAACGGAGCAGATTCAAACTATATTATTTCGAGGGCGATATT